TACAGAAGTAAAGGTATTTGTAAGTGTAGTACAGTAGTAAGTTCAGACGTATCGATTTTGTATTTTTTCAACCACATGAGTTGTATTTATGAGAAGCTTGAGATAATATGAGTGAACCAGAGTTAATGTAGGCAGAGATAATCAACCTTTCTCTCTTTCTGGAGATTGTTAACATCCTAACATCCATCGACAGCAGGGGTCACTACACCTGGGAAAACGAAGGTGAATTTGGATTGCACTGGCTTGAAAAACTACGCAAGGACGACGGACTTGTCGTTTTCGCCTACAAACACAAGCTCCAAAGACGCGCAACAACAAATGGAGTGGGCTCCGGTCTCGATGAAATTGTGTTGGCTTGTTTGGGTATCCAGAGTCATATGAAAAGATTTCGGGTCCAAGCGAGACCTCCTTAGAATTTTCTACGTCTTCCACACCTTAGGCTACAAAAGTATGACACTGGCAGGTGCTCAAGCTGTAAGAGTAGCTGATTTCATTTACCACGGCTCAAAATAGGAGGGCTACTCCGTAGAACGAAGGTTTGTGTGCACTCGTTTCAACCACGAGGTGAAAGCTCGACCTTCCGCCCTTCCATTCCCTGCTCCTGTGATGTGATGTGAGTGAAACCGAGCAGCTCAGGGAGCGATACGATACGGTGCCAAGTGTTTTGCAATGTGATACAGCGGTAACGTACATGCCTATGTAAGGGCGCGTCTCCTTGCTCGATCGATCCTGCCCTCGATCGATCGAGGGACAGCTAAAGCGTCGCAATATACAGGGTAACCAGTTTTCGAGACGTCTTGCGAATATACAGTAAATGGCACTCAATGATGTTGTCACCTCCGCTGATGACGATCGATGTGCCTTCCTGGGCACACCGATCTCAGCTTCTGTAGGATCGAGGGTTGCCCCCCCTTGAATTTTCAATCCTGTCACCCGGGGCTCGAGATCGATCCGCGAGTGTCACCCCTTACCAATCCCGCCCCAATCCTGCGATCGGTGTGCCCGATCGGTTTTAGAGCGATCTCGCAATCGATCGAAGTAAGGGACGCGCCCTAAGGACACCAAGGCATGACCCGGGTTACGAAAATGCAAGTGTCAGGACACCCCGTGACTGTGAAAAATGTTTCTGTAGATTGGATACGGCGTGGCAAAACGGGCTGGTGGCGACAATCCTTGGCAGGAGCTCATCTCCTTCAACCAAATGAGGCGGAGTTCATAGGTGTGTTGGCCAAGCAGGTCCAGCTCAGAGGCAGGGGGTCCTCGACTCGCCCTCTTCATCCTCGTCTTTGTCTTTAATCTTGCAGGAGGTTGCGAAGCAGCCACTAAAAGTAACAATGCAGTAATGTTTGCCCAAATTGTTTTATTTACTGATTATTTAGTGTAGAGTGGAAAAGGGTGGGGGGGGGGGTATTACAACGTCCAAGAAAGCGAGAAGCTGAGTAGTTTTTGATGGAGAAAGAAAGCGAGCTTTAGCATCGTAATGGCCAAAAGAGAACTCAACTAGCACAATTGTTTCTCGAACAATGGAAGTGCAAGGTGGAAGAACCGCCATAGGTCCCAGATTTGTTGGTCCTTCGTACGAATCCTTGTTGTTTTGTTTCTTTCTCGAATGAAACTCCCCAGAAGGACTATCCTGACCGTCTGCAACATCATTCTGCAGTGTGTTGAAGTCCAAATGCATCGAGAACTCCCTGAATCATCATCACCACAGCCTTCCACAAGACATTCTTCCTTCCCGCGTGCTGTCTGCACGAACTGCACAGTGCCATTCCCTCGCATTTCGTTCATCCCGATTCCCACCACCCATCCACCTCCCACTGCACTGTACACCCACATTTTCCTTCCTAGTCCTGCCCCTCATGAACACACCAGTCAGCCCCTCCAAACTACTGTACTGGCCCAGCCAGTCTCTGGGCTTGGATGGATTTGAAAGCCTTGCTGCGCTGGTTACCCTAATTCAGGCTCCCTCATGAGTGCGGTGTGTTTGGTTCGCTCATCTGCGTTTCACCTAGTAGGTGTGCTCCTGGTGCAGACATTTCTGCAATGCCGCAACCTAACTTACTGGGCTACTTGTCCTCATCGCCGCTTCGTTCATTGCTTTTCTTGTGATTGCGAAGCGGATCCAGTAAAGGACTGCCGCGGTTGTCGGAATGCGGTTATTACTGATGATAGCTTGGTGCGGTCTCTGTACGTATTAGCTATTGGTAGTCCTCTTCGCCCGCGGAAGATTTGGGGAGTATTTTAAATAAAATGCACCAATAGGAGAGTGATGTCGCGCACGTTTCCTGGAAAAATAGCGGACGACGAGCAGGTGGATGCAGCTGAAAGGGTGGCATAGTATCCGCCGTTGTGCGATTTGGGATCCGTAGTTGGTGTAGATAGGAGATTAAGAGTCCAGTACTTAAGATCTCTGAAAGTCCCAAGGCGGTATTAACTATCAGGGGACTATCAGTAGAAGTAATAGTAGTAGAAGCAGCAGTGATCTCGACCAGGCGGGTGCGCGGGACCGGCGAATATGCCGCCCTGCCGGGGGGATATAATACATTTACCCCTTTTATTTGGCGTGCGTGCGCTGTTTGACACATCTCGTGTCCCTTTCGAGTTTTAGTAACCCGTCGCGGGACTCCCTGCGACGCGGCACCGTCGTCCCGTTCGCACACCATTGGTTTGTCGCAGCTACCCTAAGCGCAAACCGTCGCACAGTCACCTATCAGAATTCTTCCTACTTCAGCTAGCTTCCGCGGCGCCGAACTATTTCGACGCCAGGCCGAACCTGTTTAGGGCGTGTTCTCTCCGACAACTAGGTCATACCCCAAAAGATGATGCCGCCGTGCTGTCGCGCGTCTCGCGCCGCACGGCGATTCGGTCGCCTGGTCGCACTCGTCGCATGGGTCGCCGGATGGGTGGCGCTGGCCGTGTGGATAGGGCTGTACACGCGGCACGCGGCCGAGGCTCCGCGACAGACGGCGATCACCAACTGGTGCGCGGAGCGCGTTCGATACCTTCACGCGGAGTTCGATTCAAACGTGAAACAAGTGGAGGTGGGTGGGTGTGTGTGTGTGACTGTAGGGAAAGCTTGTTAACGAAAGCCGCCGAGTAGGGTGCGCGACAGAGAAAGCTTGTTAGATTCAGTGAAGTTTCAGCAGGCAAAATGATCCAGCGGAAGATCCAGTGAATATTCGCAGTAGCCTGAGAATTCTCGTCCTTTGTCCTCATCCACCCTTCCCGTTGCACACGTGGACCAGATTTTGGCGGGTCTGGTCAACCAGTTCAACGGGTTCAGCGCGACTCCGGGCAACATGTCGTACTGGGGTTACTCGGGCTGCGTGGATAAGGTTACGTGGGAGGTGCATCGTGCGGTTACCGGTTTCGCCAGGCCGTGGGTCACTTCGCTGTGGGGCGGCGTTATCGCGGATAAAGATAGGTGCGAGGCACGCGGGTGGGTGGGTGGGAGGGTGGGTGTGTTGGTAGGTGGGGAAGTGGGTGTGGGGGTGCATGGGCAGGGGGAGAGTCGGCAAGGACGAGACGACTCGGTTCTGATCATTCAGTTTCGGTGCGTTGTAACTTGTCAATCAACCCACGATTAGGGTTGACATGTGTGTTTGTGTCTGTGCGGCCACGGGTGGAGCAACAGCTGGGGTGTCAGTTCCGCTCCCCTAACGGCTAGTTCCCCCCCCCCCCCCCCAGTGTAACGCCTGTGGGGCTTACACGTAAGGGTATGAGTGCATCCGCTGCGCCTCAAATATAACCCTCGTTTTGACCCAGTGGGTAGCGAGGTGTTACACCCAGCCCCCAACGGCTAGTCCCCCCCCCCCCCCCAGCCCCTGGTACAGCATCAACTTCTTCGCATTCCCTTCCTCTCATCTCCGTCCTCCCCCCACTCCCCCTTTCCGCCAGGCAGGCCTTGGGTGGAGCAACAGCTGGGGTCTCAGTTCCGCTCCCCCAACGGCTCGCTCGCCCCCCCCCAGCCCCGGGCTGGCACAGCATCAACTTCTTCCCCTTCAAGTCCATCGTCCCTTCCGCCCCCAACCCCCCTATTTCCATTCCCTTTTCCACCAGGCCATGGGTAGAGGAACAGTTGGGCTGTCAGTTCCGCTCCCCCAACGGTTCGCTGGCCCCCAGGAACCCCTGGTACAGCATCAACTTCTTCCCCTTCAAGTCCATCTTCGGGCTGCGCGCGTGCCTCGACTTCGGCGCGGCCTTCCCCGCGCAGATGGCGCAGATGATCGCCACAGGCCGCGCCGTCAGCTCGCCTGCTGTCCTCGCGCCCAATGGACGGCTGGGATTTTGTAAGTCTTGCGTTCGAGATTAGGATGAGATTGGGATGAGATTGGGGTGAGATTGGGATGAGGTTGGGATGAGATTGGGATGAGGTGGGCCTGAGACGGCGGTGAGATGGCGCAGATGCTCGCCACAGGCCGCGCCGTCAGCTCTCCCGCTGTTCTTTCACCGAATGGATGGCTGGGATTCCATGAGTAGCGAGTTGGAACGACAAGAGGCTGAGATGGGGCTGAGATGGGGCTGAGATGGGATTAGATGGGATGAGATGAGATGAGATGAGATGAGATGAGATGGGATGGGATGGGATGGGATGAGATGGGATGGGATGGGATGGGATGAGATGGGATGGGATGGGATGGGATGAGATGGGATGGGATGGGATGGGATGAGATGAGATGAGATGAGATGGGATGGGATGGGATGGGATGAGATGGGATGGGATGGGATGGGATGAGATGAGATGAGATGAGATGGGATGAGATGAGATGGGATGAGATGGGATGAGATGGGATGAGATGGGATGAGATGGGATGAGATGGGATGAGATGGGATGAGATGACATGAGATGACATGAGATGAGATGAGACGAGACATAGACTGCCATTTTGTGTGAGTCGAGGACGCGAAGCGTCGCAAAAAAATAATCAACGACTCACAAAAATGATCTCTATCACTTTCCCATCCGCCCGCCCATCTCCCTTCCAGTGTACGCGTTTCCGATGTTCCGAACGCCGGTGAGGGAAGGGGCGAGCAGGGAGGAGGTGGAGGCGAGTGTGGCGGGGTTCATCGGGTGCGGGCTGGACGTGGGGCTTCTGGTGTCACACGCCCTCGTGGACGTGCTGCACAACGGTGAGTTGCGGTGCAGAGCGGTGCATGTGTGTGCCACACGGCTCAGCAGCTCGTGGGGCGGGCAGCGAGGAGGTGGAGGCGAGTGTGGCGGGGTTCAACGGGTGCAGGCTGCAGCCCTGACGAGGGGCTGCTCGTGACTCATGCCCTCCTGACTGCTGGTGACTCGTGCTGCACTATGGTGATAGGTGCATGCAGAGCGGTGCAGAGCGGTACAGAACGGTGCCCCCAACCATTCCCCCTCCTCCCCACAATCCCTGCTCTCTCCCCCACCTTCTCCCCTCCCTCCCCTCTCTCCCCACCAGACTCTGACATCTTCTCTCTCCAGCTCTTTGACATCACAGAACCAGCCTCCCCCGTCCCACTCCACAGCCCCCAACAACTCCCCTCCCCCCCTCTCCCCACCTCTCCCCCCCTCTCCCCCTCCACCCTCCTGCCCCCCCCCTCCCTTCCCCTCCCCCTCCCCTCTCTCCCCACCAGACTCTGACATCTTCTCTCTCCAGCTCTTTGACATCACAGAACCATCCCAGCCCGTCCCGTTGGACGCTCCAAACGACTCCTCCCACCAACCCCCGAACCACCTCTTCTCCTCGCCCAATCCCGCCTTCCCGAGCCTCAACTACAGCGTCGCCGAGCCGTTCCCCGAGCCTATCGTGGGCCGGCACATCCAAGCCTACTGCTCCCACCTCGTGCCTGGCAGCACGTGGGCGCTCCTCTACGCGCCCCTCCTCCTCGCGCTCCTCGTCCTCCTCGTCTCCGCCCTCCTCTCTATCATCATCCTCGTTCTCCGCCGGAAAGGCGCGGCTATCCGAGCGGAAATGCGCGCCGCGGAGGAGTACACGCTCCTTCTAGAGCGTGCCGAGCGGGCCAAGAGCGAGAGTATAGCCTGTTTGAGCCATGATCTGCGCACGCCGTTCAATGGGATGCTGGGGATGATGGATGAGCTGCTGGACACGCAGCTGGAGGAGTGGCAGATGCGGGACGTGGTGGACGCGCGGACGTACGCGGCGTCGGTGATCGGGCTGCTGAGCACCATTCTGGACCTCGCCAAGCTTCAAGCGGACATGCTGGAGCTGGATTCCGTACCCTTCAGCCTGCACCAGTGCCTGGAAACGGCCGCTCGCTCGCTCTTCTCCGACGCACAAGAAAGACACCTCGAATGTGAGTACAGGGCATGCTAGGGATGATGGACGAGTTGCTGGATACGCAGCTGGAGGGGTGGCAGATGCGGGACGTGGTGGACGCGAGGACGTACGCTGCGTCTGTCATCGGGCTGCTGAGTGTTGGTGTAAGGGCCTAATAAACTCAAGCTATTAGGACTTAATCAAACTTAAAACCTCTCCTCGGGGTCACCTCCAAGGGTCCCTGGGTGCCTGGTACAAGACCAGCCCCTATCCTCGGGTCCGAGTTTGTAGAGAGAGGGATCAAGAAGGACTTAGTCAAAACAGCAAGAGTACCTTGAACGTCGCGCAGCGTGCCATGCAGACCGTCGATCGGATTAAGCTGAGAATTCGCTATATCGAAGCTCGCTCCAAGAGCTTTAAAATGAGCCAAGTTGCCTCGCAAAAAGTTCTGCCATTACTAAGTTATGGCTCAGACGGTGTTTGCCTAGCATTAGAGTGCTAGCATACTAGCGTTGACTTGGGTAGCATTCCGCCGTCGAATAGCGCAGAAACGAAATTCCAGCGAGGAAGGAATTCGCTTGAATCAATTTGACTATATTCAGGTACAAACAGAGAAGGATTAAATAGTTCTAGCTAGCAAGGACCTTGGGAATCAACCTGGGAACAACCAGGGATGATCTCAAATAATTCCAAGCAACAGAACCAACCTGGCTGGACAAAATAGCAGGTGGTAGGTTGGTAAACAACCTCTGGTTCTGTTTTTCCAACCTGGGAAAACAACAACCAGGTTCAGGTTCTAAAAATAGAACCTGTTTTGTCTTTGCCCAACCAGCCAAATGCTGGTTCCGCTGGTTTCCCCTGGCCTTGTAGCATGCAGATACAGACAAACAACATCCAACCTTCACCTAAATTGTACCCCTATAGTGCCTTCCCTGCTACACTATAGTTAACCAAACAAAACAGTACAATTTCGAATTGGATAGAACTGAATCTGCGCAATCAACTCAACCGAACTGCAAAGCTTCCATCTTGGGTTCCTTTGCGAGCTCGTCCTTTCTGCTTGCACTGTTCATAGCGCGTACAATGTTGTGCCGAAGCGCACATTGCGCGAGTACCTGCAAATGCATCAAGCGAAAAATGCGAAAGCAAACAAACACACGAACACACCATTCACACGCAAATGCATTCGCACACGCATACTCGTACAAACAGACGGCAGGATGTCGTGCAATGTGCATTTGCACCCAACACACTCCCCCTCAGCCTGCCGGCTGCATCCCCGTCATTCCATGCTAGTTCATGCTCATTCCACTCATGCGCACACAATGCCAATGAGGCTCATCCGCAAGCCTCTTGGTGAGAAAGTCTGCTGGCTGCTGGTGAGTCTTGATGTAGATCGGATTCACCGTCCCCCTCTTCACCTCCTTACGCAGCCAGTGCCACTTGATACGCATGTGCTTGTTCAGCCCATGAAGCACAGCGTTTCTGGCCATCCCAAGAGCCCCCTTGCTATCACAAAACAGCGGCGTAGCAACTTTCTGCTCCTGGCCAATCTCCTCTAACAGCCTCCTCAGCCAAATCACCTCCTTCACCCTATGGAACATCGCCATGTACTCTGATTCTACGGAAGAGAGTGCCGTCTCCGTCTGCTTCTTGGACCTCCAACTAACAGGTCCTCCCCCAACTACGCAGATGTATCCTCCCACAGATGAGGAATCCTCCTTCTCAGAAGCCCATGTAGCATCGGTAAAGCAAGTGAGAAATAGCTTGCCTTCTCCAAGCCTCTCCCCCTTCTCTTTCAGCACCTCCACCCCTTTCTGCTTCACCTGTGCAGATGCGGAGTATTGAACTCCAATGCTTGGGTGAGAGTTCAGGTACTTCACCACACGCTCAGCTGCATCCACCTGCTCCTCTGATGGATTCTGCACCACCCTAGCCAGCTGCCCAACCGAGAAAGAGATGTCGGGCCTCGTGTGAACTGCTGCGTACAAGAGGCTGCCCACCAAGGACTGAAATTGCTGCTGCTCCTTGGCTTCAACCCCTTCATCCTCTGCAGCCTTCACAAGCTTGAATTCTGCTGGCAGGGGAGTTGCAACCTTGCGTTCATTCTCAATCCCATACTTCTCCCCCAGCTCCTTGATGAACTTCTCCTGGTGCAGCTTCAACCACCTGTGATCAGGATCCCTCTCCACGTGCATCCCGAGGTAGTACTTTACCTCCCCAAGGTTCTTGCACTTGAAGTTCTCCATCAGTTGCTGCTGCACTTTCTGGATCTCCTTCATGCTGCTGCTGAAGAGAAGAATGTCGTCCACGTAGACCAGAAACAGCACCAGCTTCTCCCCCTCGCCCTTGAGAAAGAGGCTCTCATCACAGCTGCTGGTCCTGAATCCCATCTCCTCTAAAACAGCTGCCAACTTCTGGTACCAGCAGCGTGGCGCCTGCTTCAAGCCGTAGATGGACTTGTTGAGCTTGCACACCCTGCCCGTACCATCCTCATACCCAGGCGGCTGCGTCATGTACACATCCTCCTCTAAAATCCCATTCAGGAATGCCGTTGAAATATCCATCTGAATGATGAATTTCCCACTAACGGCTGCATCTGCCAACAAGACACGGAGGGTAGGGGGTTTGGCAGTGGGAGCAAAGATCTCGTTGAAGTCCTGCTTCTCCTTCTGCATAAACCCCTTCGCCACCAGCCTACTCTTGTAGATGGTGACCTGCCCCTTGTCATCGGTCTTGATCCTCAGCACCCACTTGCATTGTATCGCTTTCTTCCCATCAGGCAGCACCACCAGATCCCATGTCCTATTCTCCAGCAGACTCTGGTACTCAGCATCCCTAGAAGCCAGCCACTTGTTCCTATCTGGTCCAGCTAATGCCTCCTCCATGCTAGCTGGTTCCTCTGGTGCAGGGGCAAGAAAACAGTACGCAGGCTCATCCTCCTCATCCGGGTCATAGCCATGAGGTAGAATCAGCAATGCCTCTTCGGTCCCTAGCTGCTGCTCTGCTGCATCAGTTCCTGCAGTCAGCTTCTTAGTAGCCATACGGGTACGTCCTGGCCTGGAGACGGGTGTCTCCCATCCCTTCATAACGACACCCTTCAGCTTCTTAGTTTTTTCCTGCTGCTTCTCTCCTCCCTCGGGTCCAGCAGCTCCACTAGTGCTGCCGCCAGTTTCCACACCATTTTCTCCACCAGCAGATGCCTCCTGTATCTTCTCTCCATCACCATTTCCAGCAGCTGCCTCCTCTCCCTCCTCCCACACACTAGGAGTCAGGTCCAGCTGCATGGTGATCTGCTCCATCTGCTGGGACACCCTTGCCTCCGGCTGTTTCTCCCAGCTCCCATACATCATGCCCTCAATGAATTTCACATCCCTGCTGTCAAACAACACACCCTTGGATGGTTCCCACAGCAGCCATCCCTTGCTCTCAGCAGCCAGCCCCAAATGCACACACCAGATTGCACTCGCCCCCAACTTACTTCGGTAGGTCTTGGGGACGTGGGCGACTGCCATGCAACCGAACACCCTCAGCATGTCCACCGGCGGCTTCCTCCCAAGCCACCTCTCCAAAGGCACCCACGAGTCATCCCCAACCTTGGTGAGCACCCTGTTCCTAGCGACAGTGGCGTGCCGGACAGCATGAGGCCACATAGAATTGCTCAGCCCAGATTCTATGAGCAGCGCCCTAGCTGTCTCCAGAATGGTCCGGTTTGCCCGTTCTGCTACACCATTGGACTGTGGGGTATAAGCCGTGGTCAGCTCTCTCTGGATGCCCTGCTTCTTGAGCCAGGCCGTCATTTCAGCTCCAAGGAACTCACCACCCCGGTCTGTCCTAATCCGCTTCACTACACACTCCGCCTGCTTCTCCACGAATGGCAGCCAATCGTCCCGTATCGTGGAGGCGGCGTGGTCCTTCTGCTTCAGCGGATACGCCCACATCAGCCTGCTCCAGTCATCCACAATTGTAAGAAAATACCGCTCCCCCTTGTGCCCTTGCACCGGCAGCGGCCCCACCAAGTCCATATGGACCAGCTCCAAAGGCTTCTTGCTCCTGCCAGCCACACTATGGAAAGGGAAACGGGTGAACTTTGAAAGCAAACAGATTTCACAGTTGTCATCGGGTGGCTGTCCGTTCAGCTTCAGACCCTTAACGGCTCCATCCTTCTCCAGCTGCTTCAGCAAAGGCATTGCCACATGCCCTAAGCGCCGGTGTGCCGTTGCCCAATCTGTCTCCCCAGATCTGGCCGACACTTTCACACCAACCCCTCCAACGGCATTGCACTCCCCCTGGGATGCAGACCCCTCTCCAGCCTGCCCCCCACCATGCCACGCCAGGGCCGGCAGCTGCCACATAGATCTGTACACGTCCTTGCTCTCGTGCAGATCCCAAAGCACCCGATTGCCCAGCTTCCCCTTATAAGTGCGTGCCCCATCCGTGTTGGTGTTCACCCCAGCCTTGCCAAGCTTACGGAGGGAGATAAGGTTGGCCTTCAGGTCGGGGACGAAGAGAACGTCGTGCAGCACCACCGGCTTGCCATCCGCTCCCTTAAACGCAGCTCGTCCCGCACCAGCCACCTTCAACATGTGTCCAGAGGCGGAGCACACTTCATTGATCGGTGCAGCTCGTACTTCGTCCAGCAGGTCCTTGCGCGGCGTCATCGTCCAAGCAGCGCCTGTGTCCAACACCCAATAGTCTAGGGGGTGCAGCTCTGCTCCAACTTTGGCAGAGGCGTCTCCTTGCTCCCCCTTGTCTCCCACATGGAAGAATTGGCCCGCGGTGCGCTCCTTCTTCTTCTCCGCACCGCCGTTGCCCTTCGGGTTGTTGTCGGACGAATCAGCGACCATGTTGGCGCCGTTTTTCTGGTTCCTCCGCGCGCCGCCATCCTGGTGACGATTCTGGGGGGTCCATCCATCGGGTTTCTTATAGCACAAAAACCAGGGGTGCCCTTCCTTCTCACAATACCAGCAACTCCCTTTCATTTTGCCACCAGCACCCGACTTGCCCCCACGTCCAGATTTCGCACCGCGACCCCAACCGGTACCTCCTTGTTGGTCGTTGGAGTCGTCGTCTTTCTTTGCACCGCGTCCAGCACCACCGAAGCCACGTCCTCTGCCACGTCGGCTCCCTTGCATCCTGTAGCCGCTGCTGCCGTCGTCTCCACCCCTCAGTTGGCGGCGACGGAAGTCCTCCTCCAGAATCTTCGTCCGCACCCACTCGAGCGTCCACAAGCTCTGGTTCTGCGGCAGGCTCAATCCGCTCGTAAATTGAAGCCACGATTCTGGCAGCAGTGAGAGCATCTTCAAGCACTTGGTCTGCTCCGGGTAGGTGATTCCCGCGGTCGCCAACTTCGCGTAGAGGTCGCGCATCTTGTCCAGGACTGGTTGCACCGGCTCTCCCTCGCTCAGGCGCAACGCGGACAGCTCCCTCTCCAGCATCAACGTTGCGACAACGGAGGTCGGGGCGTGCAGCTCCTTCAACACGGTCCACGCCTTCGGACCGCATTCAACCTCCGGCAGCAGGTGCATGACGTGGTGACGCTGGTTCAGCTCCAAACTCTGCGACATCAAATAGTAGCCAGCCGAGGAGCGCTCGTCCCAATCTTCCTGCAGCGTGGGGTCACTCGGTCTAGGCTCCTCCCCAATCATTAGTTTCAGCAAACCGATCTGACGGAAATATAATTGCATTTTCCAGGCCCAATCATCATAGCCCTCACCATTGAACTTCTCGACGGTGAAATTCTTCAGCACCTCCTTGACAAGCGAGCCCTGGTTTGTTCGCGCTCCCCTTGGCGCTGAAAGACCAGAATCTTGGCTGCCGCTACGATCTTGGGCTGAAGATTCACCAGCTCCCGCCGAGGTGTTGCCCGCCATAGCTACCTATAACGAGGATCACTATAACGCAGCTCTGATACCAGCTTGTTGGTGTAAGGGCCTAATAAACTCAAGCTATTAGGACTTAATCAAACTTAAAACCTCTCCTCGGGGTCACCTCCAAGGGTCCCTGGGTGCCTGGTACAAGACCAGCCCCTATCCTCGGGTCCGAGTTTGTAGAGAGAGGGATCAAGAAGGACTTAGTCAAAACAGCAAGAGTACCTTGAACGTCGCGCAGCGTGCCATGCAGACCGTCGATCGGATTAAGCTGAGAATTCGCTATATCGAAGCTCGCTCCAAGAGCTTTAAAATGAGCCAAGTTGCCTCGCAAAAAGTTCTGCCATTACTAAGTTATGGCTCAGACGGTGTTTGCCTAGCATTAGAGTGCTAGCATACTAGCGTTGACTTGGGTAGCATTCCGCCGTCGAATAGCGCAGAAACGAAATTCCAGCGAGGAAGGAATTCGCTTGAATCAATTTGACTATATTCAGGTACAAACAGAGAAGGATTAAATAGTTCTAGCTAGCAAGGACCTTGGGAATCAACCTGGGAACAACCAGGGATGATCTCAAATAATTCCAAGCAACAGAACCAACCTGGCTGGACAAAATAGCAGGTGGTAGGTTGGTAAACAACCTCTGGTTCTGTTTTTCCAACCTGGGAAAACAACAACCAGGTTCAGGTTCTAAAAATAGAACCTGTTTTGTCTTTGCCCAACCAGCCAAATGCTGGTTCCGCTGGTTTCCCCTGGCCTTGTAGCATGCAGATACAGACAAACAACATCCAACCTTCACCTAAATTGTACCCCTATAGTGCCTTCCCTGCTACACTATAGTTAACCAAACAAAACAGTACAATTTCGAATTGGATAGAACTGAATCTGCGCAATCAACTCAACCGAACTGCAAAGCTTCCATCTTGGGTTCCTTTGCGAGCTCGTCCTTTCTGCTTGCACTGTTCATAGCGCGTACAATGTTGTGCCGAAGCGCACATTGCGCGAGTACCTGCAAATGCATCAAGCGAAAAATGCGAAAGCAAACAAACACACGAACACACCATTCACACGCAAATGCATTCGCACACGCATACTCGTACAAACAGACGGCAGGATGTCGTGCAATGTGCATTTGCACCCAACACTGAGCACCATTCTGGATTTAGCAAAACTCCAGGCGGATATGCTGGAGTTGGACTCCGTGCCTTTCAGCCTGCACCAACGCCTGGAAACCGCTGCTCGCTCGCTCTTCTCCGACGCACAAGACAGACACCTCGAATGTGAGTCGCGGGGAGAGGGGGGCTATTGAGAAGGTGAGAGGCTCCTCGAATGTGAGTACAGGGCATGCTAGGGATGGTGGATGGGCTGCTGGATACGCAGCTGGAGGAGTGGCAGATGCGGGACGTGGTGGACGCGCGGACGTATGCGGCGTCAGTCAGTGATCGGGCTGCTGAGCACCATTCTGGACCTCGCGAAGCTGCACGCGGATATGCTGGAGTTAGACTCCGTGCCGTTTAGTCTGCACCAGTGTTTTGAGACGGCTGCTCGGTCACTGTTTGCCGATGCACAGGAGAGGCATTTGGAATGTAAGTGGGCGTGGGGATGGGTGGTGTGTGTGATCGGGCTGCTCAGCGCCATTCTGGATCTCGTGAAGCTGCAGGCGGATATGCGGGAATTAGACTCCGGGCCCTTCAGCCTGCATCAGTGTTTGGAAACGGCCGCACGGTCGCTGTTTGCCGATGCGCAGGAGAGGCATTCGGAGTGTAAATTGAGCGGAAAAGGGGGGTGAGAATAGAGCAGGAGGCGCCGCAGTATCGCCCACCTTTGGGGAAGGTAGATAAATAGACAGCCCTGTTCCTTTGCTCCTTCTTCTCGTCTACCCGTTTCCCAAATCATTCTGTGCCTGCCTGTGTGTGTGTGTGTGTGTGTGTGCCATGCCACCCATCCATCCACGTGTCCTGTCCTGTGCGTGCCCCAACAGTTTTCTGCCACGTGGACCCCAGTGTGCCGGACATTCTGATCGGCGACCCGACCCGAGTCACTCAAGTCATGCGCGAGCTCATGGGTGAGTGAAGCTTCTCACTCCTTTCATGGGTGTGTCTTGTAAAATGGGACGAGTTTTGAGACGCCTCAAACTCGTCCCATTTCACATTCTGATCGGCGATCCCACCCGAGTCACTCAAGTCATGCGCGAGCTCATGGGTGAGTGAAGCCTCTCACTCCTTTCATGGGTGTGTCTTGTAAAATGGGACGAGTTTTGAGACGCCTCAAAACTCGTCCCATTTCACATTCTGATCGGCGATCCCACCCGCGTCACTCAAGTCATGCGCGAGCTCATGGGTGAGTGAATTCCTGTCTCTCACGCCCTACGCCCTCAAGGGTAGGGTAGGTCTTTCAGGTGTCTCTCGCTCCCTGCTGCTGCACCCAGCAATGCATGGTTCACCGCACATCCCCTCTCCGCTTCCCCATGTCCCCCCAGGTCACGCCATCAAGAGCACGCTATCCGGTCATGCAGCCTTCCACATCTGGTGTTTGCCCGCCCATCCCTGCACCGCCACTCCCAAACCTGCTGCTCCCGCTTCCACCGTTGCTGCTACCCACTCCGCTGCTGCGTCTAAGGTGGTACTAGAGCCGGCTGTAGCAGGGACGGCTGTAGCAGGGATGACTGTGGCAGGGGCGGCTGCAGCAGATGCAGCTGTAACAGGGGCGGCTGTAGCAGAGGCAGCTGTAGCAGCCCCACTGGGAACAATCACCGAGCATGGCACCTACAGCATTGACCGCCATCTGCAGCAGCAGCAGCAGCAGGTGGGACCGGAGCAAGAAAGCCAGCAGCAGAATCAACGACAACAGCAGCAGCAGCGGCAGCAGCAGGGGGAAGTAGTAGGGCAAAGACAGCAGCAGGAAGAGCAAAAGCAGGTGACAGCACTACATGCTTGGCTGGCTACCTGGTTGGCAGCAGCACAGCAGAAGGCACAACGACCAGCCTCCCCTCCCTCCTCCTCTCCCTCCGCCTCTTACCCCTCCTCATGCTCTCTCAGCCGCAGCAGCACACACTTGGGAAGGCTCGTATCCCAACGAATGAAAAGGCGGCAGCAGAACGGTCGGATTGAGAACAGCAGCAGCAGCAGCAACGGCGGAGGCGGCGGCAGCGGCAGGGGGGAAGAGGTGGTGTCTCTGTCGCCCGAGGCTCAGCAGGTGTGCGAGCAGTTGGAGAGGTTTGTAAGTCGGTTCCAGGAGAACGTGGTGTTTGCTACAGTGCCCTCTGGGCGAACGAGGTGGGGGAGAGAGAGCAGGCGTGTGTGGGGGAGAGGGACTGGGAGGGTGTGGGGCAACAGGAGTAGGGGTGGGGGGGGAGGTAGGGGGACAGGTGAGTGGGAAGATGGGGGAGGAGGTGGGAGGAGGCTGGTTCGAGGGAGGGATAGTGGGAGGGACGGAGAGAGGGGGAAGGGAGATGGGAGGAGTTTCACGGGGCAGCACTGGGAAGGAAGGGATGTGCTCAACGTTCTGAAGCCCATCGTCTCAGCTCCTTTGGGTGCTTTCCAACGCTGGTTTTCTGACAGGAGTGGTGGTGGGGAAGGTGGGCGTTTCTTGAATATTCGTGGGAAGGAGAGGGCTGAAAGAGGGGGAGTGGAGGCGGAGAGAAGGGAGGGGTTTGGGAGGAGGGACGGAGGCGATATTGAGGAAGCTTTTGTGGCGGATGAGAGGGGAGGTGAGAGGGGGGATGAGGCGTGGAGGGAGCGAGGTGAGGTGGAGAGAGGAGTTGGAGCAAGAATAGAAGAGTTGGGTTCTGCCGGTGCAGGGGAGGAGAGAGATGAGGACGAGAGAGAGGGAGAGGAGGAGGAGGAGGAGGAGGAGGAAGAGGAAGAGGAGGAGGAAGAGGACGAGGAGGAGGAGGAGTTAGGCGCCGAGCATCCAACCAACTCCTCTGACAGGCCTCCAAATTCAGCCAAGTCAAGCCAGTCAACAGGAGTCACACGGAGAGGTACGGAGGCTTCATTTGCACCAGGGAAAGGGACAGGAGGAGCGACTGGGAGAGCGGCATGGGGGGCAACAACGCGGGCGATGGCGGGGGAAGCAGGGGCGAAGGGGTTTAGAGCAATGGGGAGGGAAGAGGAAGTGGTGGTGGTGATGGTGTGTGAGGATACGGGGTGTGGCATTCCGTCTCAGGAGCTGCTCTGGGTGCTGGACCCTGCCGGCCAGACCACCAGCAGCAACAGCAGCAGCAGCAGCGGCGGCGGCGGCGGCGGCGGCGGCAGTGGGGTTACTGGTGCGGTCAGTGGCAGCAGCGAGAAGAAGGGGGTGCAGAGCGGTGACGAGGCGGTGCAGGGTGCGAAGAAGGGGATGCAAAGTGGTGGAGAGGTGTTGCAGGGGCAGCCGGAATGGAGCCCGTATCCTGTTCGGTTCCTCCTATCCACTGGGCTGGTTCGTCTCATGCGGGGATCCATGGGAGTCGCTTCGGAAGAGGGTGTAGGGACCACCATCCTAGTCAGCCTGCCAATGAGAGCGCGACACCTGGCAGGAGAAGACACCTCCCCACTGGATGAAACCACGACTGGGGATGCCGGGCCTTGGCTGGAGGCTCGGCGGAGCGTTCTAGGTTCGGTCCGAGGCAAGCGCGCGTTGGTTGTGGATGGGATGAGGCTGAGACGAGAGGCTGTGTGCGAGTGTTTAAGGTACCTTGGGATCTCCGTGGCTGTAGCTGCTACAGCCAGCCAGGCGGGGTTTCTGTTGATGGGTAGCCGCAGCTGTAGCAGTGGCAGGAGCAGTTGGAAGGATGACTCGGGAAGGAGGAGAGCGAGGGTGGGAGACGGGGAAGAGGAGGATGATGAGGGAGAGATGGGGGAGGAGGACGAGGAGGAAGAGGGGGAAGAGGGAGATTTTGAGGAGAGGGAGGTGGGTTGGGAGGAGGGGAAGAGTATTGGTAACGGCAACGGTAGCAGTAATAATGTCGATGGTAACAGCGGCAGCCATGCTGTGTCTGTTCCACAGCGCAGCAATAGTGTTGCTGCATCAGCTACCAAGCGGAGCAACAACCGAGTGACTCTTGCCGTTCCCACAAGTCCTGCCAAGTCCCTTGCAGCAACTGAGAGGCCGATGGGTTTCAGTATAGACGAAGGCGAGGAGGGGAGTGGTGCGACGGGTGAGGAGGAAGAAAGGAAGGGAGATGAAGGACAGGAAGTAGGGGAGGGGAGGAATGGGGAGGAGGGAGGGGAGGGAGAGGAGGGAGGGGAGGGAGAGGAAGGAGAGGAAGGAGAGGAGGGAGAGGAAGGAGGGCAGAGGAGTTGGGACGTAGTGTTTATAGAAGCAGATGCGTTCGGCCCGGCAACAGGATTTGGGTTCGGCAAGCGGGTGATCTCACACTGGCGGCACCTGCAGCGCCACGGCGGGCGAGAAACGCCGCCACCGTCCCCCACCACTCCGCACCCCTCCTCCTTCCGTTCGAGCTCGTCCGGTGGCCCATCGGTTTCCCCGCCGCCTGCACTGCTTCCCACGCCGCTGCCGCTCCCATCGCCGCACCCGCCTACCGCACCAAACCCACCGCTACCCATGCCGCACCCGCTTCCCACATTAGAATCGCTCCCCACGCCGCGCCCGCTGCCGCAGCTGCCTTCGAGTGTTTCTCACCCACCGCTGGTGCTGACAGGGAGGAGTGCATGTGAGGGCGTGCAGGCGAGAGCAGCGGGGTTCAGTGATGTGCTCGCTCGCCCCTGGATGGCCAGCGATGCCGCTCGTCTGCTGCAAGAGGTAAGCTACTAGGGGGTGCTGCAGCTGCCTCCGAGTGCAGGCACGGCACGGCACGGCACGGGCAGTTTTTTGAGGCGCCTCAAAAATCGCCTAAAAAATAATGCGCGCCTCAAAAAAGGAGTACATGTTAGAGTGTGCAGGCACGGCACGGCCAGCTGGGTCTAGCGACGTGCTCGCTCGCCCCTGGATGGCCAGCGATGCCGCCCGTCTGCTGCAAGAGGTGGGTGTTGGGTGTGCTGAGAGGTAGGCGTGGTGCATCAGGTAGGGGGTGTTAGGTGCATCAGGTAGGGGGTGTTAGGTGCATCAGGTAGGGGGTGTTAGGTGCATCAGGTAGGGGGTGTTAGGTGCATCAGGTAGGGGGTGTTAGGTGCATCAGGTAGGGGTTCGGGTCTGGGGTGCTGACAGGGAGGAGCGCGTGTGAGGGAGTGCAGGCACGGGCAGCCGGGTTCAGTGATTTGTTTGTTCGCCCCTGGATGGCGAATGATGCCGCTCGTATGCTGCAAGAGGTAGGCATGTTAGGTGCGTGTGCTGGGGAGGGGAGCTGCCGGGGAGGAGTGTTTGTGAGGGAGTGCAGGCGAGGGCGGCGTGGTTCAGCGATTTGTTTGTTCGGCCCTGGATGGCGAATAATGCCGCTCGTATGCTGCAAGGGGTGGGTATGGGGTTGGTAGGTGGGTGCATGAGGTAGGGGTTCTGGCTGTGGGTGTGGCATGGCAGCACGGAGGGATGAGTGGTGCGGAGGAGTGGTGCGGAGGGGCATGCTGGGTGGTAGGGAGGTGCTTGCTGGTGACCAGGAAGAGTGCCTCCCTCCTCCCCTTACCCCTCTCTCCCCTTCCCTTTCCCCATTCTCCTGTCAGATTTTCGCCCCGCCTCCAGCCCCTGCAGCGCCCAGCGCCCAGGCAGAGAGCTCAGAGCAGGAGTACCTGCCACAGCAGCTCTTCTCCCGCCTAGCGCTCGAAGATGCATCGGCGGTCCTGCGAGAGATGCTGGGCGGCAGGGACGTGCTGGTGGTGGATGACAACGCCGTGAATTGCGTGGTGGCCCGGAAGAGTGCCTTCCCCCTTCCCGCTTACCCCTGTCCTCCCTTCCTTCTTCCCCCTTTTTCCTGTCAGGTTTTCGCCCCGCCTCCAGCCCCTACAGCGCCCAGCGCCCCAGCCCAGGAGCAGGACGAGGAGGACCTTCCCAAGCAGCTCTTCTCCCGGCTAGTGCTCGAAGATGCATCGGCGGTCCTGCGAGAGATGCTGGGCGGGAGGGATGTGCTGGTGGTGGATGACAACGCCGTGAACCGTGTGGTGGCTCGGAAGAGCCTGGTGGGGCTGGGGGCGCGCGTGGAGGTGGCTGCCAGTGGGGAGCTGGCGCTTCAACGCCTGCTGCACCCACACAGCTTTGTGCTCGCACTCGTGGATATCAACATGCCTCCAGGGATCGACGGGTAAGTTGCGAGCCTTGGTGCTTCTTCTGCTACTTTCAGTATCTCCTGGTGGGGTTGGGAGGAAGAGCCTGGTGGGGCGCGCGTGGAGGTGGCTGTTAGCGGGCAACAGCCATTGGTGCTGCGCCAATTAGCTCAGAAGCAACTCGCTCCGCAGCGCCAATTAGCTCAGAAGCATCTCAAGCACTAGAGTGTACAAGGGCACAGAACGCACTAGTGCGTCTGTGCATGCTCATGCTCATCCCTGCGTGTCCTTCCATTTCTCCCTCGTTTTCTCTGCGTGCAGCTTCGAGACGTGTCGCCACATCAGGGCGCGAGAAGCTCCCTCCCTCCCTTCATGTGCCTCTCCGCTCCCTGCCTTGATCCCATCGCCTCATTCCATTCCTTCCCTCCTTCCGTCCCTCTCCCTCCATTGCAGCTTCGAGACGTGTCGCCACATCAGGGCGCGAGAAGCTCTGGCACACCCCCGCTCCCTTCAGCTGCTGCTGCCGCTGCTGGTCCTCCTCCTCCTCTGCCCACTGCCGCTCCACGGCTGTGTGTGGTGGCGCTGACAGCGGACTTGGATGCGAGAATCCGCAAGGCGTGTGAGCAGGCAGGCATGGACGGGGCGATTTCGAAGCCCATAGTCGCACAGGACCTGCTCTCCACACTCAGAGCTGCGGGGTTTGCTGCTGCTGCTGCTAGCACTTGAGTGTGCTTGCTTGGAGCCCTCACAGCAGGATAGACCTGGATGCGAGAACCCGCAAGGCGTGTGAGCAGGCAGGCATGGACGGGGCGATTCCGAAGCCCATAGTCGCACAGGATCTGCTCCCAGTGCTCAGATCTGCTGGTTTTGCTGCTTTTACTGCTGCTGGAAGCACTTGAATGTGGTACTGGCTTGGAGAGTATGGGATAGAGTATGGACGGGGCCATCGCCAAGCCCATTGTTGCACAGGACCTTCTCTCTACTTTCAGAGCTGCAGGTTTTGCTGCTGCCACTGCTGCTGGCGAGTCAGGTACTGGCTTGTATCCTCCGTCTTCTTCTGCTGCTGCTGGATGGCTTTTGAGCTGTGGCGTTCGCTGCAGGAGCACCGCGTGAAGCAACAGCAGCAGCAGCAGCAGCAGCAGCTTGGAGTGGCAGCAGCAGCGGCTTGAAACGGCACCAGCAACAGCGGCAGCAGCAGCGCCTGGCTTGTCACTTCTTCCTGCTTCGTTGCAGCAGTACCGGCACTAGTAAGAAGCTAAAACAACCTAGCAGCCTTTTTAGCTGCTGCTGTCCATATGGTTTTGAATCAGCAGTATCGGTTTGAAGCAGCAGCAGCAGCAGCATCAGCAGCAGCAGCAGCAACACTTGGCTTGTCACCCCTTCCTGGGTTCACCTGCAGCAGCACCGCTGTGGTAGAATTTCATACGGTACTCCCCAGCTGCCTCTCCATATTTTAGAATCTCCAACTGCAAGATTTGCAGCAGTTGGGTCTACGGACAAAAGTGTCTAGTGTTTATTTAACCACCTCAAGAGTGGACAAAGCCATGGTTGGCCACTGTGTCAGAATGAAGAATGGATGATGCATTGATGTTGGTTGGGGTACATATAGCTAACCCTAAGTTTTGTACCCCCTAAGACAAACCTCACTATAGGCTACAACATTTGACACACCCCCATAGCCTAAGTGAGGGGTGTCTAGCAGAACCAAACGAGTACGGTCACAAGACCAGTCCAAGAAACGAAGCTCAGGGTGGATCACAACGTCACCACACAGTCTGAGCACAAACAACAGTGGCCACAAGGCCAGTCCAAGAAGTAACAGAGATATATGGAAAGCAAAGTAAACAGTACACTCAAGTCTAAGCAACACGAGAACCAGTGTCAACAAGGCCTAACTGCACACAGCACCTCTGGTGGTCACAAGGCGGAAGCGCCTTGGTGAAGATGTCTGCAGTGTTGGCCTCGGACTCCACAAACTCAAAGCGAGCCTGTCCACGCCTCTGCAACTCTCGCAGAAGAAAGTACCTGACGTGAATGTGCTTCACTCTGCTCTCCAGTCGTGGCTCTCGACAAAGGAGAATAGACGCCTTGTTGTCAGTGAACAAGGTCGGTGCAGAGCTCGGCCGCTCACCAAGGTCGGTGAGCAAGAAGGTCAACCAACGCAGCTCCTGTGCCGCCATGGCACCAGCGTAGATCTCAGCCTCAGCTGTAGAGGTCGAGACCGAAGAGGAGCGCGTGGACCGCCAGGAAACAGCTCCAGAACCCAGGCTGAAACAGTACCCCTGAGTAGACCTGTGAGTCTCAGCGTCGTCAGCGTAAGAGGAGTCACAGTGACCAGTAAGTACGACAGACTGCTGCCCTCCAAGAACTAGCCCCACGCCTGATGTCGTCGCTAGGTACTTCGCCACCCTCACAGCTGCTGTCCAGTGAACAGGACGGTGTCTCCCTGGCGCAACAAAGCGCGCAAGAACGCTGAGAGGGAAGGCGAGGTCCGGGCGAGTACAAGTCATCAGGTACATGAGGCAACCCACAAGCTCTGCGTAGGGACCACTAGGCTCGAACGGCTCGTCAGGAAAGGGTCCAGTGAGTCTGTGGTCAACAGCAAGAGGTGTGCGCTATACTGTGGAGTGCTGAAGCCCGAACCGCTGAAGGACCTGCTGCACCATGTGCGACTGTGAAAGTGTAATGGTGCGAGCAGCTCTGTCCCTGGTGATCTGCAGGCCAAGGTAGTGGCGCAGCTCACCAAGATCAGTGCAGGTGTGTCTCTTCTGCAGTTCGGACTTCACGTGTGCCAAAGCAACCCTGTCAGGGGTGGCGAAAACAAGGTCGTCAACGTAGACCAGAACAAAGAAAGGTGTGGGGCCACGACGAACGAACAGCGACGGGTCAGCAGAAGACGGCTGGAACCCAAGGTCAGACAGGGTAGAACGCAGGGTGTCGTGCCACTCACGAGGAGCCTGACGAAGACCGTAAACCGGTCGCCTCAGCCTCCACTGGGTCCCAGGAGGGAAAGAGCCAGTGAAGGCAGAGGGACGACGCAACCAGACCTCCTCGTGAAGACTGCCCTGAAGGAAAGCAGTAGAGAAGTCGAGAGAGTGTAACTCGTAGTCTCTCTGTGCTGCTACGTGTAGTAACACCCGAAGAGTGGTCATCTTCGGGGTGGGCGCGAAGGTCTGAAAGAAGTCAACTCCCTCGCGCTGACTGAAACCTCTAGCCACGTAGCGCGCCTTGAAGACCGGAGGAGATCCCGGTGGCCGCTTCACCCTGTAGATCCACATGCCGTCGACTACGTTCGCCCCCGGAGGGGGAACCTCATCGACGTAGGTGCCTGTGGATCTGTAGGAGGCCATCTCTGCGTCCATGGCAGCTCTCCACTGAGAGGCCCAAGGCCCTGACACTGCCTCAGCGTAAGTGCGAGGAGTCGGAATGTCAAGGGCGTCGGGGTCACCCTCAGGGGCGAGGAGCATGGCACAGAGATGAGGGGAAGCGGCCGCCAGGAACTCTAGCTCAAACTGCCTGTCCTCTAGGGCGTCACAGCCAAGGGCAGACACACCCCCGACGGCTAGAGGACTGGAAGGAGGAGCAGCCACAAGAGCGGTGGCGAAGTCAAGGCGGCGGGTAGAGGCAAACTCAGTGACTGCGGCAGTAAGAGCGGACACAGAGGACACAGAGGCACGAGGGTGGGTAACAAGAGAGGCGAGAACACGAGAGAGAACAGGACGGTACGTGCGGTAGTAGTCAGTGACAGGAGAAGGAAGCGACACAGTGAGGGCCGACTCAGGAGGAGACGGAAGCACAGACGGAGACGGACGAGGTGGACGAGAACAAAGGAAGGCTGTACGAAGGTCAGTGAAGGGAACAGGAGACGAGGGACGAGCACGAGGGGAGCGACGAGAGGCCCAAGTCTGAGAAGGAGGAGGAGACAACGAAGACTGAGAACGAGGGAAAACAGCGGGAGAGGGGTCAGGAGGAGGAAGCGGAGGACCAGAGACGGGAGGAGAGGGGGAGGAGGAAGGAGAGGGAGACGGGAGACCAAGGGTCCGAAGACCCGAGACAGGAGGAGGAGACGGCAGCAGCTGCTGCTGCTGCTGCTGCGGCTGCTGCGGCTGCTGCTGCTCCAGCGGCTGCTGCCCCTGCTGCTGCTCCTGCTGCTGCTGCTGCTGCTGTCGCTCCTGCTCCTCGAGCCGCTGCAACTCTCTCTCCTCTCTCTCCAACTCCAGCTGCTCCTCACGAGCACGGCGAACACGAGCCTGGAACCTGGTCGGGTAGGGGTGGGGGGAAGGAGTAGTGTCCGGGGCAGCGGCAGCCCCAGAGTCGACCTCCGAAGCACCAAGCACACCACCCCCAGAGGCAGCACCAACACCAGCTCCAGACCCAGGCTCTCCAGAAACCGAAGGGACACCCTCACCCCCAGACGCAGCACCCCCAGACTCCGCACCAGCACCCCCAGACTCCGCACGACCAGTACCAGCCCCCGGAAGACAAGAGTCCTCTGCAACCCGCGGCTCAGCTCCAACTCCAGCACCCCCAGAACCAGAGACCTGTACAGGGACAGTCGCAGGACCAACCTCTCGAGAGGGAGCACCTGCAGGAGGCGGCGAGGAAGACTGTGGGGAGGGAGGCTGTACAGGGGGGGCTACCGAAGGGGGAGGGCTAGCCTGAGACACACCAGACGGGGCTGGACCAGGGGGGGGAGGCTGTACCGGGGGAGCAGGCGGGGGAGCGGCGGTCAGGAAGAGAGGGGGGGGAGGGACCGGGAGACCTCGACTGGGGTACCTGACGTAGTAGGGGGTGGACTCCTCGAAACGGACGTCACGGGAGTCAAAGAACCGGTGAGAGGGAGGGTGGTAAAAGGTGAAGTCAGAGGAGTCCTCAGGGAAACCAAGGAAGACACAAGGAACGGCGCGAGGCGAGAGCTTGTCCGCGGAGGTGTCGCGGACAAGAGCCAAGCACCCCCAGACACGAAACCTCGACGCGACACCAGGGGACCCTGTCCAAAGACTGGTCGGTGAAGCCTCCGGCCGAGAGACGCGTGGCCAGAG